AATTAGGGACGGCTAGCGCAGATAGCCCCCGTGTAGCTTTGCGCGAAATTCAAAACAAACAAATCAATCTGTTATTAAATTTCGGTTTTAAAATAAGATTAAAATGCATCAAACCTAGACATATTATCAGAAAGTTAATAATTCAAAAGATAAAGAAATATATTTGAATATATATTTATAGTAAAAACATTAGAAAGATAGACAGGAGTAGACAACGTTCTCATTAAATCGAAGGTCGTTCGCTACTTTCTTTACAGAAAACACATCTAAACATCTGTATACACATCAAGTTATTGTGTACGAGAAAGACAATAGGTCTGTGGCAACACAGCAGTGTCATCTGGCATGTGGCGCGAGGTCAAACCACCGCCCTCAGATTGTATATGGTTCACTTGGTTCCGCCCAAATGTTTCTGTTTTTAGTGCTTTACAACAGCCATTTGGCGCTCAAGCTGACGGTAAGAAGACCGTGTTTCGGATTTAGGGTGTTACTTACTTAGTTACAGATTCACGGTCCCATATATTCCACATCATTATTCTATGTAAATACCTATGATATTCGTTAGTATTATAGGAGAATCATTTACTTTTAGTTCCTGAGAAAATTACTCATGATTCTACATCGGAAGGATAGGTAGGATTATGTCATCAACATATATAAATCACAATAACATGTGAGAATGGTCCCCATAAGTTGCGGATTAAACCCGCACGTACCCATTTTTAGTTTTAATGTCTTAGAATTTTCACTTCGAAAAAAGTTACGAACAATAAAGAAGGCCAACTTTATAACCACCCTGATTTTTTTATCTTGTTAGTTGGTGTAATAGATAAAAAAATAAGCAGACTCACTTTTTAATTACTCTCATTACAGACAGTACGTTTATGAGAACTTCTGAGTGAGAGAATAATGCATAATAATAATAATAATACGTAAACCACACCGTATTTATTATATCAAGTGCCGACGAAGCCTTCGGCCTAATACCGGGGTGCTTCAGGCTGCCTAAGATACGACAGGCATAACAGTGGTTAAATTATTTCAATGCCACAACTTCATGATACATGGGATATTGATGACACACTATAATTCACTTACTTCTATGGTGCTTGGAAAATATACAAACAATCTACATACGGGTAAGTCCCAATAGACAACTAACACGTAACAAAAACGTACAAGGCTGGAAACATGTTTATGTATTTTTGAATATAAATGTAGAAAAAAAATCTTGACTCAATTCATATGAAATCTAAAAGAAAAAAGTTTTTTTTCTTCTTTAACCTATTTATGACGAAGAAAATCTCCATATTTATCAGTGATAATTTGTATCTATAATTGAATGTTTTCTGCGAAACCAAGCCTAAAACTATGGAAAGTTACGGAAAAAATAAGGATGTTTTAAAGAGAGAAACGTTACTTTTCTGTTGAGCTCCACGTGTTTTCACACTTTTATATGATATATTTTGGTGTGTGGAAGCTAGCTTTAGCCCAGTTGGTTAGCATCCGGTGCTGCACCCTTCAAAGGACACCGCAGGTCACAATAAAACACTCAAAAACAGATACCAGGATGACGATTTTCGAGCTTGTCTGCGCATATTTAATGCCTTTAACACCTATAAGGAAACTTTGTTTTGTTTTCTATTCGATTATAAAAACAAAATCAGCGATTTTAAAAGTTTCAGCGGAATTTTAGAATTAATACTGACAACAACAGCGCAGAAATCCAAACCTAAGAAACGAGAGTAACTACATGTTATTTTTAAACCTATGCTTGGTGTAACAAAACAACAGTAACTACATGTTATTTTTAAACCTATTCCTGGTGTTAGAAAACAACAGTAACTACATGTTATTTTTAAACCTATTCCTGGTGTTAGAAAACAACAGTAACTACATGTTATTTTTAAACCTATGCTTGGTGTAACAAAACAACAGTAAGTACATGTTATTTTTAAACCTATTTTTTAGTGACTGTTGTTTCATAACACCAGGCATCGGTTAAAAATAACGTATAGTGACTGTTGTTTCGTAACACCAGACATGGGTTAAAATTACGTGTACTTACTGTTGTTTCATTACACCAAGAATGGTTAAAAATAACATGTAGTTACTGTTGTTTTGTTACACCAGGAATAGGTTTAAAAATAACATGTAGTTACTGTTGTTTTGTTACACCCACGTTATTTTTAACCCGTGCCTGCTATTATGAAACAACAGTAACCATTTTAGGAACACCATTTTAAAAGGTTAACAATCTGCAGCTTTAAAGCACTTAAATCTATAGATGATCAAGCATTTTGTGGCACTTTTTCACCTTCCTGTGTAGGCAACAATCACAGAAGCGTCACTCACTTTTAGTTTACGGACTTAAAACTCTAAAGTTCTCGGTTTGATTCCTGTTGTTGATAAAGTATAGATTTGCACGAAGAAAATAAAACACAATGTCTTACATGTAGAAAGGACCTCAACACTTAACGGTACGTATATATCTAGGTAAGCAAAATTAAATTAACTTGAATTTCATATGTAATAATTTTCCCGAGATATGTTAATAAATAAATAAAAAAAAGATATTGTTCTAAATAAAAGTAGACTTCTAACTTTGGATAGAGTATCTTAAAATATATTATTTTATATAAATAAAAATGATATTGTTCTACATAAAAGAAGACCTGCGATTTCAGCTAGCCTTAAAAATATTTTTTCTAAATAAATAAAAATGCTTTTTTCTAGATAAAAAATACATGCAACCTCACCTAGCCTTAAAAAGATTTTTTTTCTATATAAAAAATATTTTGTTCTAGATAAAGAAGACCTGCAACCTCACCTAGCCTTAAAAAGTTTTTTCTAAATAAATAATAATGATTTTGTTCTATATAAAGAAGACCTGCAACCTCACCTAGCCTTAAAAATATTTTTTTCTAAATAAGTAATAATGATTTAGTTCTAGATAAAGAAGACCTGCAACCTCACCTAGCCTTAAAAATATTTTTTTCTAAATAAATGATAATGATTTTGTTCTATATAAAGAAGACCTGCAACCTCACCCAGCCTTAAAAATATTTTATTCTAAATAAGTAATAATGATTTAGTTCTAAATAAAGAATACCTGCAACTTCAGCTAGCCTTAAAAATATTTTTTTCTAAATAAATAAAAATGATTTTGTTCTTGGTTAAATAAGACTCGTGACTTTAGATGGATTATCCTAAAGGGTTATCTCTTTAGAATAAAAAAAAACGAACTTGTCCGCTATATTAAGCGAGCTTGATATTTTATTCCAGTGACTAACGTGGCCAAGGCAACAAATTATAGTCAAATTTAATTTCAAATTCATGGATAATTTTGAACCCAACATTGAATCATATGAAAACTTTCAAATCTTAGTGAAAGCAGCGGGAACTCTGTTATTTCGTAAAAAGCAAAGAAAAAAAATGTTTAGCCCAAGAAATAGCGAAACTATGAGTTTTATGGATTGTGCTATATATTTCCAATTTTACTAAATTTTGGACGTACATCTGCCTATCAGGTTATTGAATTGTATAGCTCATACAGGGAACAAACTTTGTGCTCAAAACTTACAAAGAAACGAAGATACATGAGACGTGTGTTGAAAACAACATACCTGTACACGAGATTCCGTTAATCCGATTCTCATTGCCAGCTCTTCCCTCATGAAAATATCCGGGTAATGAGTTTTGGCGAAGCTCCGCTCAAGCTCCTGCAGCTGGGCGGGAGTGAATCGGGTCCGATGCCGCTTTGGCTTTAAGGGTTTGTCCGAATCAGAACAATGAGTTGGGCCGGAGCCGCTGCCGACGCCGCTTCCGTTCCCTGGGACGACCATGGGTCGCTGGTGAATACCGGTGGATTCCAGTACCTGCAGTGTGGCTCCGCCAGGCGTGTAGTGATGGTCCGCTCCTCCGTTAGGTTTAAGGCTTTCTCCTGTTCCATCGTTCTTCGCTACTGGAGGAGAAAGAGAAGATAAACATGGTTTTATAGTTAATACTTAATTTCAGTTTCATTAGTTTTAATTTTCTCTTCCTTCTCTTAAGTGAACCGTCATTGCTACCACGACAAGACAATGGGCGGGAATGCGCAAAGCTCAAACTAAATAAATTAACAAAACTCTGTAATTTTATTTGTTCTATTCCTGATTAAAGATAATTCTTATTACCGAATGGTGAAAGTTTAAGGGCAGTCAAATTAGCAAGCATTTTATGGTGGTACCAAGTACAGAAAAAAGTCATGGTAGGAGTAAACCGCAGAGGTGCGCGCGAGCACGCAGTGAGTTGACGCGACAAATTACATTTAGGAGAGTGCATAGAATAGGCCGAGAGTAAACTAGTTAATCCCCGCTCAACAAATTAAATCAGGGGCAAACCTATCAAACGAGAACAGCCTAATGAAAGAGTCAAATAACTCAATTAATTCTCCTTTCTGCTGGTAACTGCTAGAGACGCCAGCGCAAGGCTTACCTAAGGGAGACGAAGAACTGTGCAGGTGGTTCAACATCCTGACGCTGCAACTTAGTTATGGTGAAATCTAACCAAGACAAAGCCTATTTCTTTTCTGTACCGAGTTCGCTTAACAATTGCAGCAAGCCAAGATTTTCCTGATCATTTAGGACTCCAATTTTGTTCGTCACCTTTTTGTTCTGGGAACGTTTCACGTGCCTGCTTTAGTCAGCCAATCAGCTAATCCTCTGCAAGATTTTAGTTGCTTCCAGCTCGTGGTGGGTGGGTCAGCCATGTGAGAGACGCGATACGCACGTCCTTCCTTGCCAAGACATTGCGGCCATGGAAGGCTATGACAATAAGGAGCCGCTACCATTCGGCACTGCCTGAAAGTTGCACTGAAGGGAACGCATACATACGGGTCAGGTAAATAACAAAAACTTTTCTTCTGGCTTTATGGTTGACAATTGTTATAAAACTACTTAAAAACACTTTTACAATAAAACAAACAACTGGCTGTTTTATTTTTATCTAATCTGGCCAATACAACAGTAAACAATGAATAATAATTAAAGCTTTAATGTAAAAAAAAAGAAAAAAAGAAAAACTATAGCTTATGAAGTATATTTTTTGGTCCGTATTTCTAAGGACAAAACTTTAGACCATTGTAATTTCTTACCAGAAACAACCATGGTTATTTCATTTAATTTTGTATTTATAATGTGATCGGTGTGACAGTCAGTATACAACATATATCACTACGTGGAAGCAGAATTACTTCCGCAGATAAAACATCGTATAAGTTGGTGTCACAGTGAAAAATAATTTCGTGTTTTAAAAAATAAGAAAGAGGCTGATATTTCTCCTACAACTGAGTTATTTTGCCTGTAAGGATGGAATAAATTATGGCTAGGGTAACTCAATTACAATATGTTATTCTAATACTTTTAAATGTTTATTATTAGAACAGGTAATTTGAAAATCGTAAGTTACATAACTTTTATGTATATGTATATATATGTGTATGTGTGTGTGTGCGTGTGTGTTTATATATATATAATATATAATTGAAAAAACATTAGTGAATCACAAGAGATCAAAATAAATCTGGAAAGAAACAATATTTAAAAACTTACTTATACATTTTATATATTTTTTATTTTGTTTTATTATAAATATGTGTAAGTTATATAAAAGTCTGACGTTACAACATTACGATACATTTTCATTATACAAGATTTGATGATACCACATAACGATACAATATGATTATGTAAGGTCTGATGCTAAAACATTACAATACAATTATATGATACTAGATCTGATATTACAACATTACAATACAAGAATATTATACTAGATCTGATATTACAACATCACAATACAATAATATTATACTAGATCTGATATTACAACATTACAATACAATTATATTATACTAGATCTGATATTACAACATTACAATACAATAATATTATACTAGATCTGATATTACAACATCACAATACAATAATATTATACTAGATCTGATATTACAACATTACAATACAATAATATTATACTAGATCTGATATTACAACATTACTCTACAACTTGATTATGCAAGATTACAATTGCATTAGGCCTGGCATAATTTGGTTAGGGCGCTCGACACGCAATCTGAGGGTCACGGGTTCGAACATGCTCGCCCGTTCAGCCGTGGGGGCGTTATAATGATTACAACCAATCCAATTATTCGTTGGTAAATGAGTAGCTCAGTAGTTGGCGGTGGGTGGTGTTGACTAGCTGCCTTCCCTCTAGTCTATCACTGCTAAATTAAGGACGTCTAGCGCAGATAGCCCTTCTGTAGCTTTGCGCGAAATTCCAAACAGACCAAACCAAAACTATTTCATTATACAAGATCTGATGTTACAATATTAAAATTTCATAATACAATATTTGGTATTACAACATTACAATTTCATTATGCAAGGTCTGATGTTACAACATTACAACACAATTTGATTATACAAGATCTGACGTAACATATGAATTAATCAAGTTTACTGTCTGTGTTTCTAAAACGGTTGTAGTTCAAACATATATTAACGGTCGCAGAAAGCCAGGATTAAAAGAGTTATGTTTTTGGTTTACTGTGAAATTAAACAGCAAATGATATAAATGTTTCCAGCAACTTTGTGAAATGGATACTTACAGTAATTTTCCCGTGAGATTTCGGTATCCTCCTACTGATCCCTAGAGAATGGTCAATTTGACCGCTGGTAACAATAACGTGAGAAAAAATGAGCGCAATTGATAAAGAAGTAGTTTATTTGGTTTTGTGGAGGAATACTTCTTTTTGTAAATTATTTTTAACATAAAATTAGTTTTCTGAGAGATAGTTATACGAATTTAGGGTAGGTTTACATACGAGTATGTCATTCTTGCAACAATGATAATTGCAAGACACAGAAAGCTTTGCCTACGAGGATGTCATTCTTGCAACAATAATACCTGAATTATAAGACACAAGCGACTTTGCCTGCGGAGATGTCATTCTTGCAACAATAATACATTAATTATAAGACACAAGCGACTTTGCCTGCGGAGATGTCATTCTTGCAACAATGATACATTAATTATAAGACACAAGCGACTTTGCCTGCGGAGATGTCATTCTTGCAACAATAATACATTAATTATAAGACACAAGCGACTTTGCCTACGGAAATGCCATTCTTGCAACAATGATGTGCAAGACACGAACGACATTTTCGTTTCCTTTAACATTGTATTTTATTCATTCATATACGATAAACACGCATGGTTATTCTCTAATGTCATTCATTATATAGAAAAGACGAAAATAGAATGCTATTCGTTAGTTAACTGACACAGAATATAAATTGTAATTTACTGGTGAAGAATGCTTTCATAGATAGACTCGTTCGAATCATAATGATAGTTTATAAAGTTTCTGTGCGATGTCTATAGATTAGGACATACCGACAATTTGTTTGGTTTTAAAAAGATAAAAATGGCTCCCTATATGAGTCAATTTCATATTTTACCGTGTTCTTTGACGTGCGTAGACTAATACAATGCTTCTTCAGTACGCCAAACTAAAAAAATTGTATCGAAGCAGTATTAACTTCCACACAAAACACGAATCACACACCTGGAAAGATTGCTTTGGACATACTGATGCAAGAATTTTGATTTATTTTATTTTTACTGCACCAGTAACACGAAACGTTTTCATATAAATTCTGGTGAAAAAACCTTAGAATATTTGAAAAATGACAATGTTGTTAAGTAATTATGAAGTGTGCGGGGTTAAAATTAATTCAAGGGACCATACAACCCCGGTAATGAATGCCTAGCTTTAGCAGTATATACAAAAATAGGATGTTTAAAAATATTGCGTTCTTTCGAAATTTTAGGTTTAACGAGTAATGGAGTTTTTTAAATTTCTTTGGCGAATCAAAGAGAATACTAAAATGATTTGATGAGAAATTATAATTAATGGACAACTTTTGTGTGATTCACAATAAGCCCTATGTGAGTACGCTTTCGTTGTTTGTAATTAAGCACAAAGCTACACAAAAGACTATCTATGCTCTGCCCACCACGGGGAATCGAAACTCGATTTCGAGCGGTATAAGTCCGCAGGCTTACCGCTGTGCCACTGGGGTGGGCTTTTGTTCTTTAATTTAAGTATGCGTAGGCTTTGTTTCGAAAATTATTAGATATAGTAATTATTTATGTTAATTAATTAATATATGCCTACTTACTATGTACATGTTATTCTATACAAACTTTTTGATATAAACATTCTCCAAGTAATCCATACGAATGTTCCAGTTTGAGTGAAAAATTATTATTAAAAACTAATAACGCTACAATATACTGCAATACCCTCTGTGAAAATGTTAATATAAAATACGCCTAATTTAATACAACATATAGTATATAAATATACATAGATTTATATAGATTCACAAAACCAGTGTTTTACATACAGGTAAACCACTCTATGAAAACGTTTTTTTATTTCCTTTTCACTTGTAAACATTGTAAATGAGTAGATATTCTAGTTCCTTAAAGTTTGCCTTTTTAAAAACTATTGCTGTATCTACAACCTGAAATAATATCAATGATATTAATTTTTAATTTAGCCGATAATATCTTTAACCACGAAGAAAAACAAAATGTGAGCGGAGTTTTAAACTATGTGTGTGAGGGGATGGGCAGTTTCTGTAGCCAGGATACGCATGAGGGTATTCTATCCTTGAAAATTAAGGGGGACATATCCCCCCAAAATCATGCGTATATGTCTACATACAACTTCTTAGTAATTTTTAATATACTATCATCTTTGCCGTTTTTCGAGATAAATCCTAGGTGGCACGTGCCATGATCGTGGCAAACAGCGGGATGCTTTTCCTTAATAACCTAGACGCTTGGCTCGTTGTATTTAGGACCCGTAATTTATTTTGTTTGTTGTAAACAGCACGTGGTCGCCTGCTCAGGCCGGTTGCTCGTGTAATTATTGGTACGTGAACAGTTTCTAGTTCTCTTTTGACGTCACCGATTACCATTGTTACGATCATCAGTTGTAGAAGCTTATTCCCTAAAAAACAAAAATTTATATTTCTCCGCAATACATAGTTCATGGACCGTCGTCCCAATAACCTTGGTTTGTTAGGTTTTGTAATATTACTTTATCGCATGCAGCAAGCCAATCGGAAGTTAAGCCTAAGCGGATAGTAAACCGCGTTACTTGGATGAGTCTTCAGTAACGCCTACTACATTACTGGGTCATAAATACCTACTGCTTACTCTTTTGTCTGCCAAGGGAGCTTGGCAGAGAGAAAAACTGAGGTTACACACAACCACTGAACCGTTATGAAAGTCAGAGGTAAACCTGGTTTTAGGCAATCATGCGTGCAAAATACCGGATAATGTTATATGTACACTTATATATGCATAGTCTGAGAGGAATATGCGTGATGAGGTCTGTTAGAGTACATCATGCACTTTTATATCCAGGTTCTTTTTGAAGGAAATCTTACATATTAAAATATACATTTTAAAAACCTGGTTGCATGCAGTAAAAAACACATTCT